CCACACCTGGTTAAGCTGTTTATTTCCTATTTGTGCAGTTTTCTGTATTGTTATGCTTCAATAATATGTAGCTCTTCCCCAAATCTCCCTCCACTCATAGAGTGTACCTTCTAGGGAAGAACATACAATAAACAGAGAAACTATACAGTTTGTCAGGTGATGGCAGATGTTACAGAAAAAAATAAACCTGGGAGATAAGCTGGGTCCTCCCATAGAGGGGTCTGCTATTTGGCAGGATGGCCAAGAAAGTGTTCTTTCCTGAGAAAATAGTTGAGCAAAGATCTAAAGGTGAAGAGGAAGGGGAGGAGCCAATGTGAAGGCTTTGAAGAGGCTGATGGCTGGGCCTGTGTAAGTTCCTACAGGGAGCCAGCAGCCCTGGTGCAGAATGATCGAGAAGAAGGGGAGTCAGATAATGCTGGGCAGCAGAGTGCCAAAACCAAGTGAGGCTTTTACTTTAGGTTTATTATGTGAAGTGGAGCTGTTAGAGGGTTTAAAGCGGTTGACTGAGTGACTTGATCTTAGATTTTTACGATATTACCCTGGCTGCTAAATTATGAACATAAAGAAACAAGGATTGAAGCAGGGAGACTGATTAGGAAGTTGTTGCAAAAATCTGGACCAGAGATGATGATGGTGATCTGGGCTATAGTGACAGCAAAGAAGCAAAGAGAAATGGCCATTCCCTTAAATCCTGAGACTCAGCAAACTTACTGAAGTGTGGCTGAGGGTATGAAAGAAAACAATCAAGAAAGGTTTCCTGGGTTTGGGGCCTGAGTGACTGAAAAGGAGTTTTTTTTATTTATTTGTTTGATTTAGCAAATGAGAAGACTGAGGGCAGAACGTGCTTATGGGGATGGGGGACGTTACTGAGTACATTTTTTGGACATGTCAAAGTTGAGGAGTCTGTTAGACTTCCTAGTGAAAATGTGGAGGAGGTAGTTGGTTATACGAACTTGGAAACTTAGGCAGGAGATGTAAACTTTGAAGTTGACAACAAATAAACATTTAAGCCATAAAACAGGACATGAGACCTAATGGGGTGACTGTAGAAAAAGAAAAGAGGCCCAAAGACTGAGCCCTTGGGAAGGGGATTTCTACATCTAGAGCAAGGAAAGATAACTTGGGAGAAGCAGCTGTCAATAAAGTATATGGAAATCTAGATAAGTGTAACCTAGAAGGCAAGTGAAAAACATGTTGAAGAGTTAGGCAAAAACACTGAGAAGTCAAAAAGATTAAATAAATGCTACTAGATTTTGGGAGTCCTTCAGTGACCTGTGACAAGAGCAGAAACAAAATGTGATTACTATGAGTGCAAAATACAAATGAAAGAGGAATTGGCTGTGGGCAATAGTTTCATAAATTTCTTGGTTTTGTTTTGTTTTGTTTTTTGGTTTTTTTTCTCCGGTACCAGGAACCAAACTCATGACCTTGCGCTTGCCAGGCAGGCGCTTTTGCCGCTGAGCTAAATCCCCAGCCTGAAAGAGGAATTGGAAACAAGTATTCCATACCTCTACTGAGGAATCTTGCTAGGAAATGGAGTGGTTGGTAGATGGAGGGGAATGGAGAATATACTGTGTATATTTCACATAAGAAAAATTAATATTATGCTGATGGAAAAGATTCAGTATAAATTTTTTAGAGATGCAGGAAAATGGATAATTGTACGAATTAGGCCCTAGTTTAAGGACAGGATCTAATACATCAGAGAAGGAACTGGTCTTCAGTGAAAGAACAAAGTCAACCAGAGCATCAAGAAGAGTGCAAGGACTAGATCCACAGATGTTAGTTCTCTTCTAATTACTTTTACTTTTTCTGTTAATTAGGAAGCAAGTTCACCAGCTGAGTGGGAAGAAGTGCTAGAGCTTTGGGAAGACAGAAGGCATGAAATGGTACCCAAGAGAGGGATGATTACTGGTCTAGGGAAACAAATGCTGAAAGTGAGCAGACAGGAAATTAAAGAGGGACTAAGCACTGTGGTTTCTTTTCCCGCTCCAGCTATATTTAGCTGTATGGATACAAGAGGAAATCAGTGAAGGAGCTAATTTTTTTTGCCATATTCTTTGGTTCCTTCATTTAAAAACTGTACAGAAATACAAGAATATGGGGCTGGGGATTTAGCTCAGCGGCACAGTGCCTGCCTGGCAAGCGCAAAGTCGTGAGTTCGATTCCCAGTACCGGGGGGAAAAAAAAAATACAAGAATATGCCACAAGTTATGAACTCATTCACTGATATTTTTGTGCCCACATTGTTTTTTTATGTTGTGCTCCTATGAGAGAATTCCTAATGTACCAACAAGTAGAATTGCTGGATTATGAGGTATGCTTGATTTCAATTTTACTTGGCACTGCCAAATTATTTCACAAAATGACTGCATCAACTTATCCTTTTATCAACAGTGTATAAAAGTCTCTATTCTCCCTCCAAGATTCCTAAATTTTTGCCAGCCTGACATGAAATGGTATCACATTGTTTTATTTTGTAACACTTTCATTTCAATTTTAAGCACACCTTTTCATTTATGAGCCAGAATTTGTCAATCCCCACTCAACTGGCCACTTAACAAGACTATATAAAGTACATTCTTTAAGTATTGTAGGGAACAGTAACTCTTGGCATATCATTTTTAAGTTTTAGTCTTAGTACCAGCCTCAAAATGTGTCTGAGAAATATCCAGGAGGGGTTATAAAAAGTTAACTTTGCAGTTAACTTTGCCCTGGAATGTTTCTCCAATGATAAAGAACACCTGGGCCCAGATAATCACCTATGATCCTGCCTGGGCTGTTTCATCCCTTCCCTGGCCCTAGTTAAAACATTGTAACCCTAAAGGAATGTATAGGTGTAAAAAGGGGAACGAACAGAACAGAGTGCAGGAAGTATGTATCATAATGGTTGGGCTCATGACCAGGGGCCTGATCTGGTCACACAGGACAAGGAAAACAGCATGTGGCCACCTGAGTCAATGGCTGTAACATTCCATTCTGTTACCATGGAAACCAAAAATGTATTTAAGGTGCAAACAAAGACCTGGACAGGGCCACCATTTCCCCACCTGCTAGTTGGGGATGTACAGTAACTGGTCCAAATTCAATAAACTCTGTTTTTCCCTAAAATTGAATCTTTCAGTCTTCTGTGGAAATCAGCCTGTCTGCTGTTACAGTAGCTACTGTGAGCCTGGCACTATGATAAGCTGGGGAACAAGAAGAGTTAGCAAAACAGACGTGGAGTCTGTCTTCCTGGAAATTACAATTTGGTATGGGAAAAAAGAAACCTAAATAATCGCAAATTGTGGTAACAAAAAGGACATTAACAGTTATTTATGAAAACTTAAGAAGGCCAATTCAGTTGAAGAACGAAAGAAAATTTTTTGTGAAGTATTATCACTTTAATAGATGAGTAGGATTTAACTACCTTTCTAAAAGCCCACTGAAATTCTGAGAAACCCAACACCCCCATCCATGTTCCTAAAGGGAAGAATGTTTTTCCACTGAAGTGTGCTAGATGCACTGGTGGATATGGTGCTTGTCCTGGGCCCTTCCCCAAACACATGGGAGGACACTCGTTTTATTCCTGCTCCCTTTTGCAATTTTGGACGTCAATACTGCACTGGATAACTAGATACTGTTCCATCAAGGTTTTTGGTTTTCTGGGGGGTCATACCAGGGATTTGGCCTAGCACCTTGTGAATGCTTGACAAGCAGTATGTCACTGTGCTATACATCTGCTGTCCTTTTATTTTGATTCAGGGTTTTGCTGAGTTATCTAGGGTGTCCTTGAATATGCAATCCTTCTGCCTCAGCCTTCCAAGTAGCTGGGATTACAGGCACGCTCCACTAAGCTTATTGTAATATCCATCTCACACCACCTGGTTATATTACCCAATACATGTAGGCTCTGTAAAACAATTTTGGATACTTTATCTCACTCTGATATTTTAAGAAAAAAAAAAAAATAGAAAAACGGGGTGCTTAAAAAGATAAAAGTATTCAATATCATCATTATTAAAACCATACCAAAACCTATCCAAATAAAGGACTTAAGGAGTTCAAGAATTTGTAGCAGCATATCTATGATACATATTTTATGTATAATACAAGAGTTTACTGTATGGGCAAATGTAAATAACTGGTTTATCAAGATGGGAAGGTGTGGATGAAATTAAATTTAATTTCCTTTCTGACTAGCTTCCAACCTCACCTGCCATCATAGGCCTTCATCCACTTATCCTCAAATGACAGCTATATGCAGTTCCTCAAGCCTAACATGGGCCTGGAGATGACAGAGGTTAAGAGAAATGGCTTTGGAACCAGAAAATCCCAGATTTAATGCCTGAATCTGCCATGGGTAGTAAGACTATAGGCAAATTACTTACTTATATAACACATGTATTAGGTTTATTTAGTGTAAGCAAGAGAAATAAAAAATTAGCTTATGGAAAATGGACTGATTGTAGAGAATTCACTGAATCCCAGAGAACAGTAGAAATTAAGCCAGACCCAAGGAACCTCAGAGAATAGAAACTAGAACACCCATTCTCTCCAATTACAATGCCCCCTCATCTCTGGTAATAAATGACTCCAGGAGGCTCTGTCTCCACTTTTCGGCCTAGCAACCCCCCAAACTTTCCCTGATAATTGTACTTTGAAAAAATTCTTGCAAAGGACGCCGACTGGCTGAACCAGGTCTCATGACTACCCTTAGAAACATACTGGAGCCCTGGAGACACTCTGACTTTCGTTCTGGTGGTCAGAACACCAGGGATTATTTGCATGAGAAAGGAGAAAACACTAGCCAAAAGCAAGAGCTACCATAGCACCTCTAACTAGGAGTCACAAAAATAAAATGGATGTGAAACAGGACAATGTTATTCACACAAGGAACAAAGAAATGACAACTATTATTAACTTACCTGGTTGTGAAGAACTTACCAGTTAATCTGACCTGCTTGATGTGCCATCCTTTAATCTTAGCCAAATTCTGAAAATTCAAAAAGACAAACTGATTCCTATTCAACTCAGGCCATTTATTGAAAGAATACAATGCTGTTACAAGGATCCATTTCATGTAGCACTGAAAGGCTGTCTTCCTAAGTACACAGTACAAGACTGCTGGTATTAGGAAACCCTCTGCTCAATAAGCCACACATTCATCCTGGCTCCTCCCGTCAATGGAGGCATGTTGAGATTCTGAGTGATGGTTAGGCCAGGCTAAACACACACACACACACACGGGTCTCTTTTGGGTTTTGTGGAACCAAATATTGATAAATTTCAGTAACACTGTGGATCAGCACTCAACAGGTCACAATTCATGCCATCCTTTCCCAGTAGTGTACTATAGGGATTCCCCAAGCAGCAAGTTCCTGACAAGCACTCTAGCCACTCAGCAGGGGAGGACCTGACTAGAATTATCTGTTGTCAAACTATGTATCAGACCACATAAACATGGCTGTGACATGTGTGCTAAGCATGGAGCATCATACACAAAGCTTTTTTAAAAAAAATGGCTAATATTTTGGAAGGACAACTCTGCTATGGAATATGCTATCCATCTTGTTTCACAAGTGGAAGACTTATTAGGCTACACATATAACATTTCAGCCCCCATGCATATTTACCTGTCCCCTCAAAAATGATGAATACTTGAGAGCTACCTCATGCCACCATGTTATGAGAACAGCAGTAGATTCCACTATCTGGCATGCAAGGAAGTCAGTAGGAAAGGCTGACCATCAATATCATTCACATCACCACTCCCTGAGGACCATCATTAGGGCTGGGAAAACTTAGTGTGGGGAGTGGCTGTTGTGTGCAAGGGATTAATATTGTTTCCAAATTTGTACTGTTGCTATTGATGAACCAACAAAGATTCTGGAAATTCCTTTAGGATTGCTGATGTGAGGCACTAAGGGACATTAAGAACTGAGGTGGGCCAATGAAACTTACTTCACAGTTTATTGATAGAAAAGAACTATGGAGGTAAAAGAAGTTTTTTATTGGAGACGTATTTCCTTTGCACATAAGCCTAACCATGCTGTTTGTCTGAGTCAAAAACAGAATTTATGGCAATAGGTAATTGAATTTATACTTCTCTAATTTAGGAAATAATTTTTCTAGTTTTCTGTTCTTTTCCCATTGATCTGATATAGGTAGGTTGGAGCAGTACTTTTTCATGAGGTGCCATTAAAAGCACAATTTAAAAAAAAAACCTTCATAGTTCTATAAAACTGACATTAGTACAAAGTAAAATTGTAACTGTAAAAGGAAAAAAAGTCATCAGTAGATCAATTATCTACAGTTTCTATTAGCTTTTTGGTGTGTAAGCTTCCAATAAACATCCTTGAATAAGTTTACAACAAATTTGTATGTATTTTGCTGCCTCTTAGGCTTTTAGGAATTCCAACATGTCCAATCCATAGGTGCTTATTAAATGTCTAGGTATCTGACTTACATAAAATTTAAGAACCCTCTGACTTCCAAAATACTTTTTAGGTAGCAATGCTATGGACCAAAGATCCCAGAAACCTTTCTCCATTCAGCTCTGCCATTATAGGCTGCACCATCCTGTGCAAACCACTTCAAATCTTTGGCTTTCAGTCCTCCTTGCCTGCATAATAAAGTGGTTGAGCCAGATGATCTAATTCTTTGAATAATTCCTGGACATGGAATTGGTTTCCATGGAAATGTATTTTATTTTTTTTTGTACTGGGAATAGAACTCATGACCTTGTGCTTGCCAGGCAGGCACTGTGCCACTGAGCTATATCCCTAGCCCAGGAATTTCATATAAGAACTGAAGTTCAGTGCAATTGTGAAGCAATGTTTATAATGAATTTTGGTCTTTATGGTAGGAATTTTATTTTTTTTAAAGGCTGTAAACTGAGAACTACACATCAAGCTGTGGAAAGTTGGTGATGTCCCACACACCTGTATCTGGAAGCTTTGTAAAGTCCAAATATAGGCATATCATTTCCAAATGGTTACATATTTTGTACTTTTTATAAAAACTTATAATTAGATATCAGAATGTGGCTTTTAAGTTATTAAAAAATTTGCCTACTGGCACAACTTTCTCCACACACAACATACAAACATACATAATTACATTCTCAGACTTTCTCTCCAGTAAGAATCCTGATACTGAATTGGGACAGTATTTTAGCTCAAGCTTTCCACACATTCCTTAATTTTAGGGTTCCTGCAGTTTATTTCTTGTATGAATTCTCTGGTGTTTAGTAAGAGCTGAGCTTCGACTGAAATTTTTCCCACATTCCTTACAAGAATAAGGTTTTTCTCCAGTATGAATTCTTTGATGATCATGTAGGTTGGTTTTCTTCCGGAATGCACGCCCACATTCATTACATTCATAGGGTTTCTCTCCAGTGTGAGTTCTCTCATGCTGAATAAGGGATGAACTCTGACTGAAAGCTTTCCCACAGTCAATACATTCATAGGGTTTCTCTCCAGTGTGGGTTCTCTCATGTTGGGTAAGTGATGAACGTCGACTAAAGGCCTCTCCACATTCATTACATTCATAGGGCTTCTCTCCTGTATGAATTCTGTGATGCTCTATGAAACTTGTACTCCTTTTGAAAGCCTTTCCACATACATTACATTGATAAGGTTTCTCTCCAGGGTGAGAAATAGACTGCTGATTAAAGACCTGATCACAATTATAGGGATTCTCTCCAGTATGGATCCTCTGATGGTCAGTGAAGTCTGAAATGTGACTGAAGTCTTCCCCACAGTCATTACAATGGTAGGATTTCACCTCAGACAGTGTACTTTCATCTTGAGTAAGAGAAGAGCTGTGCTTAAAATCTATGCTGTAGTTATTGCTTTGGTAAGGTTTGCCTCTTTTATGAATCCGCATATGTTTATAAAGGGATGGGCTCTGACCAAAAGCCCTTCCACAAATGCTACATTCAAAAGGTTTCTCTCCAGTATGAGTCCTCTCATGTTGGACAAGGGAAGAACATCGACTAAAAGCTTTCCCACATTCCTTACACTGGAAGGGCTTCTCCCCACTATGTGTGACCTCATGTTGAGTAAGGGATGTACCATGCCTAAAAGACCTCCCACATAAATTACATCGATAGGGCTTCTCTCCAGTGTGAATTCTCTGGTGTTGGACAAGAGAGGAACTGCGCTGGAAGGCTTTCCCACAGAGACTGCACTGATAGGGTTTCTCTCCTGTATGAGCATTCTCATGCTGACCTAAGGATGAGCTATGCCTGAAGGCTTTTCCACACACATTGCACTCAAAAGGTTTTTCTCCAGTGTGAATCCTCTGATGCTCAGTAAGCTGTGTCTTCCAGAGGAAAGTTTTCCCACAGTCAGGACATTCATGGTGTTTCTTGCCAGGATAAATTCCCTGACCTGTACCATTGGGGAAAGTGTCTTCTCCTTTATGAGTTTTCTCATGTTTAGTAAGTGATGATCTATGAATAAAGGCTTTTCTACATTTATTACATTTATAGGGCTTCTTTTTTGCAAGGCTATTATTCTGATTAAAATCTGAATTATGTCCAAAATTGTTTCCAAATGTTCCACATTCACTAGGCCTTATTCTTGAAGGAATGTTCAGTTGTGGAATCAAGTCTATGTTCAATCTAGAGTTTTCAACAAATTTATTTTGCTCAAAATTTTCCTCTAGGGTGGTTATTTTTTTCTGTGTAGACACATCTGGCCCCAGATATTGCCTCCAATTTTCCTGGTGCCTCTCTAGCTGGCTACTGACATCCCAGGCATCTTCTAATGTGACATGTGAGAAATCATCTGTACTATGGAATACTTCAGATGTGCAGTGCTGCAGCCTTGGTGATTTAGCTTCTGGCTTTGTCTTCCGGTCTGAAAGAAATGCAAAGTACAAAAATTCCCCATTTCTTCCTGTTGAAACAAACTCTTACAACAGCAATGAGGAAATGAAAGAGGCATAAATTATGCATGACTATGTTTTGAAATTAGTCCTGTAGCCTGTGGAGAAGTTCAAAATACAGGAAGGACTACTACAGAGAGGTGATAGTGAAGACTGCAGATCCAGAGTATGGTGAAAATCCAGCAAATTAGGAAAGCCCAAACAGGTGGGCTTGTTAGGGAACAAGGGTAAAAATGAGCATGGGAGTGTAGGCACAGATACAACTGGAACAGGATCACAGGCCATCCTGTAGGATTCTATCTGCTCTCCATGCCTCCTGTCCATTTTATAAAATCCCTCCCAAAATCTAGTTTCTTCTGTCTTTTTAAAAAAACAGTACTGGTGACTGAACCTAGGGCCTTTGCACTGAATGGTATCCCCAGCTCTTTTTAATTTTTGAGAGAGGGTCTCAATTGTAAGTCAGGCTGGGCTCAAACTTGAGATCCTCCTGGGCCAGCTTCTCAGAATGCTGGGATTACAGCTGTGCACTACACCATGCCATGTTATCTTTAAAGTAACTTCTGAGCTTCTAGGTCTTTAAACACTGTAGAGAAAATCTACAGCCAGTGATTTAACTGAAAATATTCTTTGATATATTTGGAGATCAAGGACTATACAAACTCAGGAAAGTCTTTCAGGGGCATCTTTGCACTTTCAACTACAGCTGTGGTTTTAGTCTGAGTACTGATTCTACACTAATCACCTTTGTTAACCAGAATGATTTATTTCAATCTGCTTAATAAATGGGTCTTTAAGTCTGTTTTTACCTCAGAATATTAATATCAGATGATAAATTAATTTGTAGGATCCAAGAATGGAAACTTTTAGAACTAAAGGACAGGAACCTTTCTGGAACAATGGAAATATTTCATATTGATAGGAATTTGGGTTAGAAAGAGAAGGCATTTGTTAAGAGTAATTCAATGGTATATATAAGAGGTGTGTTTTTCATTGTATGCAACATTTTCTTAAAGAAAGTAACTGTAAAAATACTGAGCAGTAATGATGTGTGTATAAGTGAAGTGTACTGTTGTCTGCAACTTCCTTAGAGATGCATCAAGTGAAATGGTTTGATGGATAGATGAAAACGTATGTGATAAAGCAAACTGCAAACATAAAAAATGTAACAATCTTGGTGGCATGTATACAGTGTTCTCTGAATGATTTTTACTCCAACTTTTCTATGTATTTGAAACTTCTGATAAAATGCTCTTAAGGGGTAAAAAACAATGAAGTGTCTCTAAATTCCCAAATTCTTTATTCTGAAAATAGAATCAATTTTAAATTCACAGAGCAAAAAATGTTTTGCCTTTTTTTTGTTTGTTTGGTTTGGTTTCTGTGGTACTGGGGACTGAACTTAGGGCCTTGTATTTACCAGGCAAGAGCTCTATCACTGAGCTATACCTCCAGTCCATTTTATTTTTATTTTTTTGGTCCTGGGAATAGAACTCAGGACCTTGTGCTTGCCAGGCAGATACTGTGCTGCTGAGCTATATCCCTGGCCCTAGTCCATTTTATTTTGAGACAGGGTCTCATTAGCTTCCCTATGCTGGCTTTGAATTTGTGATCCTCCTGCCTCAGCAACCTATGTGGCTGGGATCACAGGCCTGTGCCCTGTGCATAGCTCTATTTTTAAAGAATCCTTCTAAGGTCATTCAAGAAAATTTGTCAAAATGACAAGAATGAGAAAATTCCTTCCCCAGCTAGATTCCATATCAAATCGATTTCTAACTTGTGTTCTGCAACACACAATATATCAAAATATAATTAAGGGGCTGGGGATTTAGCTCAGTGGCAAAGCGCCTGCCTGGCAAGTGCAAGGTCGTGAGTTCGGTTCCTGGTACCGGAGAAAAAACCAAAAAAACAAAACAACATCAAAATATAATTAAATCTGAGTTTGTATAGTACAGATGATATGATTGGTTTGTCTGGTCAGGGAAGAAATAAATATAATGATATATATTAGGTTTTATGGATTAGATTTTCGAACTCAAAGAATAGATGGCTTTGTCTAAGCAGAATGTAATGAGGGAAAATATACGCTACTTCCAGGAAAACAAAAAAGATGCTGCACCTCAGGAAATTTTTCTTTAAACAAAAAGGTAATTCTGGAAGCTATGACAGATCTTTGAATCAAGGATTTTCTATTTCTTATACTAAGGTACAGGGAGTAATAGTAAGAAAGGGTGGTTTAAGTAGTTAAAATATTAAAGTCCAATATGTTCTATCAACTAAGAAATTGTTAAACAAAATATTGCATATCCATAGAATGGAATATTACTGAACAGTAAAAAGGAATAAATTACTGATATATGCTTTAAAGTGAATCAACCTTGAAAATACATTAATTGAAAAAAGCTAGCCATATGTTATATGAGTCAACTAATACAGAATGTCCACAAGAGGTGCATCCATAGAAAAAGAAAGTAGATTGTGGAGTAGGACATTCTTTAGTTACTCTTTCAATGTACTGCCTCAGGCCTGACCAAGCCATGTGACTGTTTGGTTCTGGAGGAAGTCTAGCAAAAGCATTGGTGGAAAAGAAAACATTGCAGAACCTATGTCTTTGTGGAAAGCTGTGAGGTCAACATTAAATGCTTTGCTAAGATATGCCCAAAGGATTAATAACATGATGGCTAACTAAGACTTATTTATGTGATAATTAAGTTGTACTGTCCTTGTTGATATTCTCCCATTTGCCCAGCTGCTTCCTTTGTTCTTTCTCAATAAAAGGTTACTGAGATTGCCAATCAAGGCTGCAGTCCAAGAGGCTGTAAGCCCCCTGATCCCAGAATTATGCCTCTCTTGTTTTTCTTGTTTCTCTTACTTTTCTATTCACTTGTGGGTACCTCGTTCTCAGGACCGGTTCATACTGAACAGAAATGGATTATTAATCTGACAGTAGATGAATGATTGCCAGGGGCTGGGATTAGTGGGGAGTTGGGTATGATTTTTAATTGATGTGAGTGGTGAAAAAGTTCTGATGTTTTGCATGACAAAGTTAACCATACAACGGTGATGTATACCTAACTTTGTGACATACACACAAATAAACAAAAACAAAAAAACAGATATGTACACTTTAAAAGAGTGACTCTTGTTGGATGTTGTGGCACATGCTTGTAATCCCAGTACTTGGGAGGGTGAGGCAGGAGGATCATAAACTTAAGACCAGCTTGGGCAATTTCAAGACTAGCATGAAATATATAGCAAAACCCTCTGTCAAAGGAGAAGGAGAAGGAAGCAAACTGGCTCTTATGGTATGTCAATTATACCTGGATAAAACCCTAATTTAAAAAATATCCACGGGCCAGGGATATACCTCAGAGGCACAAGTGCCTGCCTGGCAGGCACAAGGTCGTGAGTTCAATATCTGGTACCAAAAATGAAAAACAAAAACAAAAAATACCCGATATAAGGTCCGGCGTGGTGGCACATGCCTGTAATCCCAGCACTTGGGAGGTTGAGGCTGGAGGATCACTGCAAGTTTGAGACGAGCCTGGGCTACAGAGTGAGTTCAAGGCCAGCCTGAACTACATAGAGAGATGCTGTCTCAAAAAAAAAACCCCAAATCCAATGTAGATTATAAAAAATAAAGAATGAGCAATTCCACCTGAGAGTTATAGTAATCTAAACTCAGGACCTGGTTTAGAATTTACCACTACAAGTTAGAATGCAGGAAAATCTAAGAAGCTTCTCAAAGAAAGAAAATAATCTGGGTTGAAAGAAAAAGACTGAACTGATTATGGTGTCTATCCTCAGGGATTTCTACAGTCAAAGGCGGAAATGAGTAATAGGCAAGGTACCGCAATATCCTGGCTGGGGATAAAAGAGGACAAATTTAGGTTTGATGTATTCAATATGAGCTCTGTGGAACTTCCAAGTGGAAGTCCTGTGAAAAGAAAAAAGTGGCCAGAGTTTAAGTCAGGGAGCTTGCAGAGTCTACAGCAAAAACAGTTCTAATGACCAGAGGGAAGTCACTGTTTTAGGGAGGTAACAGAGACAAAAAGTAACAGAGGCTGGAGGGCAGATTCCTTAAGACAGCTTCACCTAGGGGAAAAGTAAGAAAAGACCTTACCACAGCTTGGATGTTAAATGTCCTTTTCCAAAGGCCCATGTGTCAAATGCATGGTCCCCAGGAGGTGCCACTGGGAGGTGGTGGAACCTCTGGGAGGTGGGGCCTTGGTCACTGGGTGTCTTTAATGGGGACGGTGGGACCCAAGCTTGCCTCTTTCCCTTTTGCTTTCTGGTTCATGAAATAAGCAATTTTCCTCTATGAGGGAATCCTGCCTTGATGTGTTGCTTCACCCCAGGTCCCAAGCAACAGTGCTGATCAATCATGGACTGAAACCTCTAAAACTGTCAACCAGAATAAACCTTTTCTCTTTATAAATTAATTTCCACAGACATTTATAGTGATGGAAATCTGACTACCAGAGACCTAAAGTCCAGAAACTCTTCACAAGGCAGAAGACTAGGAGAGGATGATACTACTGGGACATGGAGGGAGGCAATGGATCAAAGCAGCATAAAGGTGGGATGGCAAGATGATGTTGCTTCCCAGACAGGTGTTTCAGGATTAAGGCCAAGAAAAGGAGTTGGGGCCAGATGTGGTGGTGGATACCTGTAATTTTAGCAATTGGGAGGCTGAGGCAGGAGGACTGCCGTGAGTTTGACGCCAGCCTGGGCTACACAGTGAGTCTGAGGCCAGGCTACATGGTGAGACCCTGTCTCAAAAATAAAGGAGTCTGAAGGCAGTCACAAAGAGAGGGAAAAATCAAGGCTGCAATGTTTCCTGCAAGTCTGGGCCATCCAACAGTGAAAGCAACAAGACAAAGCAAGACATGATGGTTCATATCTGAATAAGAAAAGGCATCTCTACATAATGAAAGGAAGCTGAGGACACCAGAAAATAAAATAATCCAGCAAGATAGGCAAAGACGGTATTCTAAACCTGGCCAAATGATACTTTTAGGAATGAAAAAGGGGTAACTGTTTCTCTTGGACCTACTGACAACAGAGTACTCTCCTGGGGAAGAGAAGCATGGAGAGCTGTCACTCAGAAGAGTTCAGCTTCCTTGGCAAGTCTAGGAGCTCCTTAGCCAGCTCTTTCCAGATGCTCCCCCCACCTGTGCCATTGTCTGCACTGATTCCTACAGGTGAGCTCACACTTATTTACCTGGACAGAAAGGTCTTTGGATTTCTCCCTCTGATATCCACGGCTCCTCTCCTTGCTCCAATTTGAAGATCACCTCTGGCTTGGAAACTTGATATCCTGCTCATGGGTAAATACACAAGATTGTTTGTGCAAGTGGACAGAGAACCTTCCTACAATTCAGTCCTAGCTGTGGAGAACCACCTGGATGACTCTCCCTGAAAGAAGAGCAATCATCTCCATTTTGGCTAAACCTGTCCATGTTTTTGTGTATTGTTATGCGTAGAACTGGCTAAGTTTTGTCTTTATCCCCTCAATTGGCTTTACGCAATGCAAACGGGTCTAGCCAAGGTGCTGATGTGTAGTCTTTGAACCAAGGTGACAGGGCAATGTTGCCCCGCCCATAGCTCCCAAGAAGTATAAGTGAGCTAAGCCAAGAGAGCCATGCTGTCCACTGAGACAGGTATGATTTCTTAAGGTATAAAAAATTACTTATCAAAGGCAAAGCACTGACCCCAAAACATTAGATACTGCCTCAAATTGTTATGTAGATTACTTTCTGCATCTCTCTCTCTGCACACTGCAGAGGTGGCTTGAGGCCTCCTACCTAGCCCAGCTCATGGCACTTACATACTTCCTGACATGCTCACAGTCACTCATCCCCAAGCCACTCCCTTCTTCATGAATAAAACCTGAGTTTGGCCCTGTGTCCAGGCCTTTGTTCTGGTTAACCATCGTACTAGCTGGACTTAGGACCCCCTTGGATCCTCACAATTACAAATATGCCTTAGTGTCTTTATTCTCGCCATGCATTGCACTGGCAGTGGTAGATTAGAATGAACTTCTTAGGATTCCAGTAACTTTTCCATGAGATCACAAATGTGGATTTTTCCGGACTGTGACGAGGTCTAGAAGGGCTTTCTATACTAGTCTTGGTCCTCAGGAACTCTAAGGAAAAGAAAGGTGCAACTTAAGGAGTCATGCAATCAAAGTGGCTATGTCCAGTTCTGCAAAATAAAGACCTATCACCTGAAGAGCAGGCAAAAAAACCCTGGAAAGCTGGATCCCACAGACATGAACAAGCTTTGGCCCCTGGGCACCCTGCTCAGTTACCTGGGCTATCAGCACAGAGAGGGAAGTGGACCTTACCAAGAGAAACCAGGTGGCTGTAGTTCTCCAGCATCACATCCCTGTACAAGCTCCTCTGGGCAGAGTCCACGTGATGCCACTCTTCCCGGGTGAAGTCCACGGCCACATCTTTGAATGTTACTGATTCCTGTGGGATCACAATCTTGCTCAACACTGTCAATGTTCCCATGGCAATACTGGGAACACACTGTGGGATCTATCAGAAGCAGTGATCTCACGCTTGCTATCCTGAGGGGGTAATGTTGGGTCATAGATGCTAGTCATTCATACAGCGTTGTAAAGGATCTAGTGTGTCTGTCAAGAAGTCACAAGGGGCGATTTATCTTGCAAACCTGCATCCCCACTTACCTATCTTCCTGACTGCTTCCAAGCCAAGCTTTTTTATACAATCACTAATTCCTCACTGTCCATTCACCTCCTTTGTTATAAAACCCAGAGGTGGTGAAGAGTGAAAAGTGATAGCCCTTCTTTGCTCGCAAAACAAATCCATCCCCAGATAAATCACTCTCAACATTTTGGTTAATATACTTAAGAGTCTGTTGTCCCAAGTTTTACACACACACACACACACACACACACACACCAGTCTTGTTTTTTGAAACAACTATATGTATTGTTCCACAACTTGCTTTTTACATTTGATTATGTATCTTGGAGATCTTTTCATAGTGTATACATAGTTTCATCTTATTGTTTCACAGTTATGCATTACAGTTGTGTCTCAGGATACCTACTACCTAAAACTAACAGCATCCCACTGTAGGAAGAAAAAAGTTCAAGTTCTCCTGCCACTAATTAGCCATGCTGATCTTGCTGTTCTTTTTTTTTTTGGTTTTTCTTCCAGTACCAGGAATCTGACTCACAACCTTGCACTTGCAAGCCAAATGCTGTGCCACTGAGCTAAATCCCCAGGCCCTGATCCTGCTATTCTTGACAACACTACGCTTGGGGGACAAGTATCGATATATACCAGATTTCAAAGACTTGTACCAAAAAAAAAGTTAAGTACCTTAATGGTATTTTAAAGATGCTGATCACACCTAGAAATAATATTCTGGATACACTGGGTTAAATACTATGTATTACTAAAATTAACTTCACCTGTTATTCCTTACAATGTGGCTACTAGATAATTTAAAATTACTGCACATGCAGCTTCTATTTCTTTTGGACAGTACTGTTTTACATTATTCTAGATCTCTACCTCAGGCCATCCTCCCCAGGCTTCTGAATAATTTCTCAAGCTTCACCTCCTGTCATAGACACCATGCTTCTACCACATAGACTTTTAGCCCTGACTTCATTTTCTTTTTTTGTCTCCCTGCCTCCATATTCTATTCTGACCATCCTGTCCTTTCTTCCCTTAGCTCTATAGCAAAAATTCCTAGTCATCATTCTAGAAAGAGCTCAAGGTTTCCTTCCCTTGTGAAACGTTTCCAGATCCTCCATCTGCCTTGTTCTCCCTTCAGCATTTGGTCCACATCTCTACTCCAAAACTGCAGCCATCTATTCATGTTTTTGTCACTCAATTTCTCAAAATCCTTTGCATTTCAGAAAGGCCAGCACCAGTCGTGTTGTTCAGAATCATCTGCGCAACTTTTCTAAACTGTCTATGAGTGGAGGGCCCTACAAAGCATCTCTTCAAAGTTCCTCAGGACCAGGTGTGGTGGTGTGTATCTGTATCCCAGCACTCAGGAAGTTGAGGCAGGACGACTGCCAAGAGTTCAAGGCTAGCCTCAGCTATACAGCGAGTTCAAGGCCAGCCTGAATGGTATAGCAAGATCCTGTCTCAAAAAAAAAGTTCCTCAGGTGGTTCAAGATGTAAGAGCAAGAGAGATTTACTGAACATTCACCACAGGCCAGGCACTGAACTCAGTCACTGTGTGTACCCTCCTCACATTTCCTCAATGAGGTCTATCACCAGCCCAGAGAGCAGGTACCACTTCCTCAATGGTTGTGAAGCACGAACCTGGTAAGAATCACTGCCTAACACGCAGCAGACACTCCAGAAATATCTGATGAGTGACTGGTGGGTAGTTCTTGCTGAAGGGAAACAAGGAGTGGTTTTGAAGCTAAAATAATAATAACAATAATGAGTTAGAGCCAGGCATGGTAGCACATGCCTATAATCCTGGCACTCTGGGAGACTGAGGACAGGAGGATCCCAAGTTCAAGCCCAGCCTGGATAATGTAGAGACCCTGTTTCAAAACAAAAAAGGCCAAGGCCAGGGCCAGTGCCATGGGCCTAGGTTCAATCCCCAGTAAAACACACACACACACACACACACACACACACACACACTGTAAATCTTATGTGTATTTTACCACAATGTTTTAAAATTTTAAAAAAAGATATTGAAAGTAAAAAAAAAAAGTCTGTAATAAGCTGGTGCAAGTTCCATGCCTGTAGTCTCAGCTACTTGGGAGGCTGAGGCAAGAGGATCACACATTTGAAGCTAGACTAAGCAACTCAGATGTTTCAAAATAAAATGGGCTGAGGACATAGCTCAGAGGTAGAGTATTTGCCTGGCATGTGTGAGGCACTGGTTCAATTTCCCATACTGTAAGGAAAGAAGTCTAAAAAAAATTAATTTAAAGGAAAAAAAGGAAAAATCTATTTTCTTATATATATATATGCTCATAATATGGTATATTTTAATAAAATAAAAGCAATACAAGACAGAAAAGCCAGGAAAAGAACCTTACTCTTGAAATCAATCTCAGTGGAACAGGTCTGGATAATCCTAACATTGTTTTAAGGACAAAAATTTAAGAACTGTTCAGTGTAAGGGACATTGCTTCATGCAATTACTGTATCACAAAATTAGGGTCACTGTAGCTGGAAAATATAATTTCTGCCTCATGAGGAACAGAAAGTATAAAATTGTTGCTGGGGGTTAAGTGGTTTTGAATGTCCACTCGTACAATACATTCTCACCTTAGGTTTACTCTGGAGCAGGGAAAAAGGAGTTGGACAGCTCCTCCAGAGGCGCTCACAGCCTGGTACAGAGACAGATAGGTAGGCATGCCACTGCAAGGGTGTGAGAACAGTACTGTCATAGGCTTTCTGGGAGTGGAGAAGGGCCTGTAACTTTACTCTAAGGAAGATGCATCTGAGCGAGGCTTAAACACCAGATCTAGTCAGCTTAGGAGGCTGGGAAAGAGGACCTCTGGATAGGTGAGCTCTGATGTCCTTGATCGAAAACCCCCTGACCTGATTTAACAAGAGGCGTGGTCTCCCGTGGTGATCCAGGAGCATTGTGTCTGAATGTGGATGACCTAAGCCAAGTTTCACTGGGTCTGTTCTTCGTGATGATCTACCACAGAGCTCTTAGGATCTGAAGTCAGCAGAGACCAGGCTGTGGTCCCTCTCCGTATCTTCCCTATCAAGGTAAAACACCATGACCTTCTTCATGGAAAATACCATTCTCCTCTCTAACTAAAAATGTAATATATATATAAAATGAAAAAAAAAAGTGAACAAGAATGCAAAGTGTTTATGCAGATATAGCTGCCAACAATCCTAATGATACTGATGACTCTAAGGGGACATCCCACCTCTACCATCGCTGTCACTTCTTCCACTTCAGGCAGAGCCACTGCAGATCTTTAATTACACTTGGGGGAAGGTCCTACTCCTCAAAACACCTCTCCAAAGGACCTCCAACTTCCTAACATTCCCCTATGATTCATCATGCATGGTAATCTTTATATCTAACAAAAAGTTGCACTAGTTTCCTGCCCAAAATTATCAGCTCAAGCTGCTCCTTGAATGTACCAGACATACTAAGACTGTTCCCTCTTCCTACCATGTTCTTCTCCAGACATCTGCATCTGAGACTTCTTCAGCTCCTTTTAGGTCTGCTCAGATGTCCCCATCTCAGTAAGGATAAGGCTTCAGTGCCCTGACCATTCTATTTAAAACTGCACCCCTATCACAGCTCCCCACCTACCCACTCAATCTCCGTGACCTTTCTTTTTCTCTTAAAACTATCATCTTTTAGGATACTGTAAAATGTACATATTTAATTCTTCTCTCTCCCATTTTGAGAATACAAGCACCATAAGAGCAGTCTTATCAATTTTGTTCACTAAAGTTACCCAGGTGCCTAGACAACTGCCTGACACATAACAAGGGCTCAATGACTTGTCTCTTGAATGAATGAATGAAACAAATCCAAACTCCTTTCTACTTATTATCAGTAACAGAGAGCGGTTTCTTGAATATGTTCCCACACCTTATCTCTCAACTCTCCTGAGAGTCAGTCAGCTCTATTCCTAACCTCTTCATTTTTATTGCTTACACTGTGTTTATTCAAAGGACTGATTCCTTCCACAGAATTTCTTGACCTTTCTCTGAACTCGGAGAAGCCTCTCTCTAGTGCTATACTTCTGTTAGAGGCTGTTCACCCCTCCTGAACGTAGCTAGGGAAGCAGTCACATGACTTATTACTCAGTTTTGCACTCCCCTGAGGACCATGCTTAGAGAAGCGGAACTACTGACAAAGGGAAATTTCGACCTAAAAAGTCCCACGGTAGGTCCAGTGTTTGCTCTGTCCTTCATCTCTGACAGACACCTGCAGTTTGTGTTAGATAATTCAAGAGAACCATCAGATGATTCCAGGGCAATGTAACTGAGTCAGAGTACTTAGGAAACAAGGCTGTAAATGTGACGTTTAAGGTGGTCTCTCAAATTCACTGCTCAAAATACATATCCACTTTCACCACTAAAAAAAGGCAACCATCCTTCTGAAAGGACCATTTCCCCAGATGCGGCATTGAGTCATCCCAACTCTCACAGCCTTCTGAGGGATACTTGGTGTGTAAAGGTGAGAATGACAATGACCTGCTCTGGCTCTCTTCAAACCAACCATCTTCCTCTAGTATTACTTGCTTTATTCCTTAAAGGTCACTCCTATCAAACAAGTAGTTTGAACATTTATATATATGTATA